TTGTGTTATACATTTATTTATATTTTGTGTTATACATTTATTTATATTTTGTGTTATACATTTATTTATATTTTGTGTTATACATTTATTTATATTTTGTGTGTATTATGTAGCATTAAGGATACTAGGCAAGCTTTCTAGTGTATTGGAAACACTGACTCTCATTGTTATTAAGTTTTAATGCTTTAATGGACTACTACAGCTAAGATGTGTAAAATCATATTATTGGACAGCGAAATCTTATTATTTAAAGTGCATCCTGTCAAATCAATTTCAAAATTTTTCACACAAAATATTCAAGTCATTGTTGGAAAACAGTCGCTTACAATGGGTGATATTGTATAAATTTTTGGCGAGCTAATTTTTCATTAATCCATGCTGATCATTAGGCAAACTTCAAAGTTTAAATATTCCATGAACTTACACATATTTCTTATTTTATAGTGTATTAAACATGTTAAAAGAGAAAAATAATAAAATATTCTAATTCCAGTTTATATTTTTAATGTTCATTAGTTCATGCAGTCATTTTCATGGAGTCCTTGATTAAATATTCTTTATGTTGCCAACTGGGATAAAATTACATAATGCCTCGTCATAACCTCAAATTTTCTTACAGTTCATAAACTCTAAAAGCATGATTTCTGAAATGTTTCTAAAATTTCACTAAAGCAAATGCTTTAAAACATTCATTGAATTACAATAATGACAAATTATTTCTTTGCCTGACCAAGTTTCATTACAGGATGAAAACCCATTGATTAAAACACTCTAATCAAAGAGCATGATCGGGTCAATATCAAAATCATCTTGTATAACAATGAATGTTGAAGTTCTTTTTGTATTTTTCTTGTACAAGTCGTTCATAGATATTTCTAATCTGAAATATTGGACTTGCTAATTATTCTTCATCTGTGTCTCTAATACGTTTTATACCCGTAATTATTTGGCTTCATGCATTTACTAATTCATCCAATTATCCAATGTCAAACCTCAGGCAAACAACAAGGCGTCCAACTCATAAAATAATGACATACGGCCAAAGTTCAGTGACTATTAATGGGACTTGTAATAGCAGCATGTCATGTGATTCCATTTTATGGGCAGGAAATTACAGAAATTATAGTGGAACCAGAGCTTGACCTTTAGATCTGACCATTCTTTAGGATATTTTAATAGTCCTTTGAGTATGGCTTATACCAGTATTTGAATATGATGAAGCAAGTGGAATATCAAGAGATGCCTCCAATATGCCATGGATTTGACCATTTCAGAACCAAACATTATTTGGGAGTAAATTTCAGTAGTCTCCAATTAAGAACAATGTGTTTGGTTACGTCCAAATATTTTGTAAGGTAGACTAAACTGTTGTATTTTTGTACAATTTAAAGCATCCCATTTTTTTTAAACTTTAGCACTAGCCTGCCGGAGGGGGGGGGGGGGGGGGGGGGGAGGTGTATGAAAAATAAAAGAGGACACTGACTAACTAATCTAGTATAATATTTAGACTACACGTAGTTTGGTTTTTTATGAGTTTTTTTGGCTTGTCGACACTTTCCAAAGTTCAGGTCCCCCCCCCCCCCCCCCCCCCACTTTTCAGACTTACTCCTACACCTAGCTGAATCAGTTAAGTTTAAATACATTTAGAAAACTATCTTAAACATTCAAACAAAGTTATAATGCCCTTCAAGTCCCATACTAAAGCTATATTTTAAAATGCTTACTTCAAAAACAATCTTTTATGTTCCTTCTAGTAATTTAGATAAAAAATATTTGAAAATTCCTGTTTTTACCATTAAATCTTGACCCATTTAAGAAACCACTTTTAGATGTAACAAAACCATCAATAAAATTCACTTCCATGGGAAAATCATCCCTTTTTCTTTACAATATTAATATCATAAATTTTTCATTTACTGCTGTGCAAACAAAGCCTAATTTGCATTTTTGAAGAGTTTAAACTATCTAACATCACGCAACACTTCCTCAACCTATTTAAACAACAAAAAGACTTTTAATGCAATGTGAAAAAACCATATGTTGCAACTTTTGTCATAAATTTTCGTGAAAACTCCATATTAAGCTTGTCACATGCAAGATCAATTATAAGATAACCGATATTGTATTTTATCACTTGTAATCAAATTATGATTTTATTTACTAAATTAAGTTTGTCTGAACTATTACAATAAAACACACCATAGAGAAGCGAAGCCAGACAGACGTCTAAATGTAAAACATGGCAAAATCATTTCCAAAGGTGCCTTTCTACTGATAACGTGACATAACCAATTTTTGTCTGAATTTGCTTTTCTTTCTGTCCTGATGAATATTTGACAGAAAAAAGTCATAGTCAAGAACAATCATATACTAAAGATTTACTGTCTCCTGGCAGAAAACAATAGTTATAGGTAAAAGCTATGGACTAAAGAGGTGCTTATTTAACCAAAATTATCTGGACTTTAAAGGTGCTTAACCAAAATGTCTGGACTCTGAAGAAGCTTAACCTAAAAAGTCTGGACTCTGAAGGTGCTTAACTTAAAAAGTCTGGACTCTGAAGATACTTAACCGAAAATGTCTGGACTCTGAAGGTGCTTAACTTAAAAAGTCTGGACTCTGAAGATACTTATTAACTTAACCGAAAATGTCTGGACTCTGAAGATGCTTAACTTAAAAAGTCTGGACTCTGAAGATACTTAACTGAAAATGTCTGGACTCTGAAGGTGCTTAACCAAAAATGTCTAGACTTTAAAAGGTGCTAAACCAAAAATGTCTTTACTCAGAAGGCGCTTAACCAAAAATGTCTGGACTCTGAAGGTGCTTAACCAAAAATGTCTGGACTCTGAAGGTGCTTAACCAAATATGTCTGGGCTCTAAAGGTGCTGAACCAAATATGTCTGGACTTTAAAGGTGCTAAACCAAAATGTCATAAAATATGTTAGAGAAATCATACAAAATTTAGGGTAGTTACGGAGGCACTGTCGAGAATGAGGCTGAGGAAACTAAACTATACTCTTTTGGCCGAATAATAAAACTTGAAATGGCTCCTGTTTTGGGACAGAAACATGAACATGAACTGTAAGCTATAACTTAAATTACCAAGACCAGGCTGAACATGTACTGAATACTAAAAATTCATTATTTTAGTAGGAGGACCAATTTTCATGGATTGAAGAAAATATATTTTTGTGAATACTTCAATTCATGGATTTCCAAAAAACTAAAACTTTTAGCCTATAGGAAGCTTATACTTCATTAAACATTTAAATCTATGGTTTGCCTCTACCCACTAATCCACGAAAATTGCTATCCACTGAATAATACTGAATTCACAGTACCCCAATTCCCATGTGGACGATCACAGACATTCTGTGTTCATTTCTCATTGACATTTAAATCAAATCTTTTTTTTAAATGAACAAGAATAATGCCAGTTTGACAGTAACTAAGAACACAAACTGTACTTTTGTAAACAGATATTGGCCTCAATCCATTTTCTAAAACGCAGATTAAGAAAGCTGAGCTGTAATATTGACTTCTGTCTTTAATACTGATCAAATCTGACAAGAAAATTAACAAATATAATTTTTACAACAGTAGAATTACTTTTCTCCAAAGGCTAATCAATACCGTTACATAATTACAATTTTTAACAATTATTATCGTTTTATCAAAGGGATTCTAAAATCAATCATACAATGCTTCTAAACACTACCATATTGACGCTATTTCAAGTGCTTTAAAATGCAATTCTTCCTAAATTTATCCTTGAAGACTTAGAAAGGCTATGGAAAACTTTACAAATTTTCAAATCTTAATCTTCGCATTTATAACTTGTGCAATTCCATAATAAGTTATAAATGCAAAAATTAAAGATTTGAAATTTAGTGAAGGTTTTCAGAATCCTTTAAAAGTCAAAATCAAGGATTCACTTTTATAATAAGCTTGAAAGTTGTATGTTTTTAGCTCTTGTTTGAAAAGATGCCATATTCTGAACATTTAATAGAATTATAATACAATATCTGCTGAAAATTCACACAGGAAGTTAAACATCCCATTCTTTACAATGTAATTTTGTCAATTCTCCTTAGATTAGCCATTATGAACATTCCTTTCAGGATGTCAGTTTTAGAAAATTATCCTTAAGTAACTATTACAACCACTATTTTGTTCCATTATCTATTCATGTATGTGACAATTACCAATCATAAAAGAGAGGCGGAAGATACCAAAGGGATAGTCGAACTCATAAATCAAAGACAAACTGACAACGCCATGGCAAAAGATGAAAAAAGACCAAAAGACATATAGTATGTACAAAATACAACCTAGAAAAGTAAAGACTGATGATCAACAGGAACCCCACCAACCACGGGGAAATTTCACATTGATTTTTTTTTAATCCATTTTCTAAGAAAGTTACTCAAGCTATAGCATTTTTTAAAGAACAACAAAAGACATATTTAGAACATAATCAAAGTCAAACCTTGGTAAGCTCAAGTGCAACACTTTTAATATGTTGTAATCTGATATCCTATTGTCTTCAAATCATAAAACATTCCATCTTTAAGCTGCATATAGATTTAAACAAGACCAATATCAGGTCTGGACCTGTGTCAAATTGCATGCTATAGTTTGAGGTAACATGTCTACTGAAGCATAAACAATCATTCCCTTTCATCAAAACCTAGAAAACATTGAAAATTTTCTACCCTGAAGGCCTTTCCGACGGGCAGACGGATGAAGTGAAGTGGTTACTAGACCTGCTTTTCACCTTTTCCATGTAAAAAACCCATTGTAAAACATTAATACAGCTAAAAACAAGAGTCTCCAGAAAAAAATTTCTATTTACATTTGGAATAAATTCTTCAAAAATTGCAATGATTTAATAAGAGAATACATACATTCCTCTAATCTCATAAAAAGAACTTTTCTCTGATGATATCACAATTTCTACAAAGTAGATAGTGTCTCTTTAAATTTACAATACCGTTCCTTACCTTCATTTTTAAGTTCATTAACTGCTGCCTTTCCTATGATTGTCCAGACTGGTCGTAAACATCCAAGAAGACCCTCAAAGAATCCTCTTTCTGTAACACCGTCTCGGTAGGTTACTTCATCTTGGTGGGTTGTGGTTGACGCGGGAGCTGAGTGAGGTACGGTGGGTGATGGTGATGAGTCGGATGACTTTTCTGTTAAACTGAGCTGATCTATGTCATGTTCCAAATAGAGCATACTGAAAGTAGAAAAAAATCAAATCTATAAATAAACGTATCAACGATTCCAGGTGTATAATTTTGTACAGCAGACTCGCGTTTTGTCTACAAAAGACTCATCAGTGATCATGATAGATGAAAAAAAGATGAAAGGCCAAATAATGTATGAAGTTGAGGAGCAATTAGGGCCAAAAATTCAGAAAGGTTTTGAAAAATACAGCTACTGTAGTCTAAGTTTTCATTCAAGGAGTAATGAGGATCAATGACTATACAACACAATTTTCTAAATTTTCATCATTTCCTTGAACCTGAGAAATTTTATTGCTATATAAATTATTATATTGTGACATATAAATAATAACTTTCTGTGTTTACCGTCTATACAAACGATCGTACTAGACAAAAACCTTAAAAGGTACTGTCCCTTAGTCAATTCAATATCATAACAGGAACACAAATTATAGAGAAGACAAATATTGATTCCTAAACAATATGTTTATATAATACAAAAACAATTAGATGTGGTATGATTGCAAATAAGACAAATGACGTAAATATAAGTCAACGTACAGCACTCAACAATGAGCAAATCCTTCACTGTGTAGAAAGCTATTAAAGGCCCCCACAAGATCAAACGTAAAACAATTCAAACAAGAAAACCAATTGACTGATTTAATGTACAAAACAACAACGTTTACTCAATCTTTTTTTTCCCTTTTTTTCTGATTTTTATGCTTCATTCAAAGTTTATCATGAAATAAAAATGGGGAGTTCTGAGATCTCGAGAAATAATTCAAACCTGAGCCACATATTCATGTGCCTCTGTCCCAAGTTGTGAACCATGTCAGTGTAAGTTTGCACCTGTCCTAAGTCAGGAACCTGATGTTCTGTGGTTGTCGTTTGTTGGTGTGGTTCATAAGTGTTTCTCGTTTCTCGTTTTTAATATAGATTAGACTGTTGTTTTTCCTGTTTGAATGGTTTTACACTAGTCATGTTTGGGGCCCTTTATAGCTTGCTGTTCCATGTGAGCCTAGACTCCGTGTTGAAGGCCATACTTTGACCTATAATGATTTACTTTTACAAACTGTGAATTGGATGGAGAGTTGTCTCATTGGCTCTCATACCACATCTTCTTATATCTATTTACTTCTAAAACTACCCTTACATTTAATGTTTTTAAGGGAATTTTTGTATTGATGGCAGACCTCGCAGTACACAGTGCACCTCTTTTCTAGGGTAATTTGAGCTTGATATTTTGTACAGACATCTGTTCATTGTTGCAGACTTTATATTGACCTCTTAAAGTCTTCTTGTTTTAGTGCCATTTTATATTATATAATTACTCTTCATCCCCTTTCATCATTGACAATTTTCTTCATTACAATAATTATCATAAACGGAATACTAAAGTCGAAGATGATCAAATATTACACATTTTCCCATTTCTTTGATATTAATTGCTGTAACCACGAATGTGACCTACAGAATTCGACTTATCATCGTGTTTGTACTTACATGAGCAACACGAAAGGTGCCACATGTGGAGAAGGATCTGCTTACCCTTTCAGAGCACCTGAGATTGTCCCGGTTTTTGGTGGGGTTCGTGTTGCACAGTCTTTAGTTTTCTATGTTGTGTGTTGTATACTTATAGTGTTTGTATGTCATTTTTGTTTGCTGCCATGGTGTGGTCAGTTTATTTTCTACTTATATGAGTTTGTCCCTTTGGTATCTTTCACTTCTCTTTTAGTACCTGAACCGCTTTGGTGGTCTCGTGGTAGCATGTTTGCCTGGAGTGTGGGAGGTTGTGGGTTCGAACCAAAGACTTTAAAATTGGTATTTGCTGCTTCTCCACTAAGCGCACGGCATTAACGAGTAAGAGCAAAGACTAGTCGGCCTGGCGTCAGAATAATGTGTATAACATTAACCTGTTCTTGTCCTGAATATGCATATTAATTAGCCACTGGACCTTAAGCAGCCATCCACCATCATCATCATCTTCTTAGTTTTAGTGTATTTGTTTGGTGCACACAAGGCTGTCTGATTAATTCTTCTTTTTAAGGCTTTTCAGATCAATATATTAACCAATATTCGAAAACATACAAAAACTATAAAGACATAATTACACTCCTTGACAAACTGATCTACCCCCACTTTCATTAAAGGAAACCTTAAATTAGTTTTCTCAAAATAAACCAGAATTAATAGTCGAATCTGTTTATAAGTTACTATAACTGGACATAATTACCCCTTGAAAACATCCACATCATAATTCATAACACTAATTAACCCCATAGTAAGTGTGTTATTACACCTATAAACCTTTCTTATTTAGAAAGTGTAGGTCTGAGATAGTTACAAAAGCTATATAAAATGTTGTTGACCCTTAAATTATCCCTAAAATAAAAGATATTTATCAAATGTTTTATTTTTATTTGAGCTGCGTCGGATAGAAATCGACCTTATGCAAATGGTCCATATACATCTGTGAACTTATTTTGGGTTGAAAAAAATCTCTATGCAAAGTCTTATATCACTGTTTGAAAAATGAGTTGATATAAGAACCCTTCAAAACAGACCCAAAATAAATCAAAGTTTTATACATGTTCATGTATACGTGCACTTTTGCATAAGGTCGATTTCTATCCGATGTAGCTCATTTCTAATTGAGAAACTTTTCCAAAAGATGCAAGCCTATACAAAACTACTCAAAATTGACAATTTTATGCTGACTTTTTAAAAACTGAAAATAGTAATATTTACTTAATAAAAATAATCATATTTGATTTCTGATAAAACTTTGCCATTTTAAGTAAAAATCTGGAATAAAAACAATGATGAAATAATCTATCATTTAAGAGATGAAATTTACTCATTTGCTTTCCATTGGGTGGCTGTTAAATCCAATTATGATATATAACAGGGCTAACTAAAGATTTTTAATAAATATAGTTTAATATCACCAGTTTCAGAATTGAACAATCTTTACAAGAAAACTCAGAGAAGTAATAATGATATCAAAAAACACTGAAACCGACATAAACTTCATAAAAGTTGATAATCCTTAGATTTTTTCTTCAATCAATACTAAATGAGGAGATAGCTAAAGTAGACATAATTCCAGCATCCTATTGATTATTCTTAACTTTTATGCTAGATTCGCCCATCTTCCCCATCTTCCGCTATTTAGAGATCACAGACAAGTTGTTTGTATAAATATTTGGTCAATAACTAACCATATATCTTATGGATAACTTGTTGCAATGTTTTCAACCCCTGTACAGTAGAATCTAGATGGACCAGTTTCCATGGATTCACGGCATTTTTTGCAAATTATCATAAGATTTTAGCCAATTTCAATAACTTTCTATTCTGGGAATTCATTTTTATTTGTAACCCACATTGATCACTAATTTTTGTGGATTTTGGTATATTGCAATCCTAGCAAAATATATTTTTTCTAGAAGCTTGGATATATAATTATGCAGACTAGCAAAATAATGAAATTAAATCTCCACAAAAATACAAGAAAATTGGCATTTACCAAATTAATGAATACACAGTATATATGCAAACAATAATGCTCAGCAAATTCACTGCTACAACTAAATGTTATTGGTTTATTGCATTGGGAATGATAAACAATTAAATGGTTAAATTTTATAGTTTCTGGGGTAATCGATATCTTTGATAATTGAAAGCTTTCCTGTTACATATTCCAAAAGTCATGATGTGTTATAAAGTACTTAAAAGCGGTTCTTAAATAAGATGGGCATATTAAGGTATTAAAAAGGAACATTACTGTTTGGTCTTTGCAAGGACACTGTGACTGCACATATACAGCATAATTTCAAGGACCAATTAAAGTCACAAACTATTTATACAAAGAAATGCTTATCCATCAACCATAGCACAACTGAACAATACTCAATTCAAATTAAATTCTCCCAAGGGACAAATCTTTATTTCTATTTAAACTGTTTCTCCTGTATCCAATATACAAGGGTTGATTCAAGGCTTTCAAATCGATCAAACCTCGTTATCTCTGTTGATAGATTCTTCCAAGAAAACTAAAACAGCAAATGGAATATAAATGAGGGAGTTATTAAGATATTGTAAAACTGGGAATAAATTCCTTTAGATTAACATTTGGGTGGAAATGCGGAATAATCAAGCAGTTTTGTTTTCTGATTGGTTTTTAATGAGTTTTTCATTAATTTTTCAGATGATTTGTGCTGTATACAGTGCTGTAACAAGTATTTCCTAATGTTAGCAACAGATTAAGTTAAAACTTCCTTCAGAAACAAGGCAATTTTTATCAGAAAGAAACATTGGCAACAGGAACTACAACATTAAGTCAAATTACTAAAATCAGTATGAAGTTGATGTTAATTTACATCTTACGCAAAGTCAAAATCCAATTAATAGAACTTCAGGCCAAAAATAAAATTTAAATTGTTTAATGTTGCCTTACCTACCCACCTAAAAGCAGCGTATCCGAAAAATTTTATGACACAAATCATTTGAAAATATTTCTTTAAAGATTTTTTCTTGCTCTAACATCATTTTCTTGTCTAAAACATGTTACTAATGTTCCCAGGTTGTCTGCCAAAAAAAAATAAAGTCCCTTAACCTACCTACCCAATCTTAATAGGCATGGGTAGGCAACATCAAACAAAGAATCTTTTAAGGGGCACAGGCCTCATGTGGGCAAAAATAGAGAATTCAATTCTTAAAATTATAAAAAAAAAATTCTTCTTTATAGTCAGCAACAAAAGAAATCTAGCAACACTGCACTCCATTACATACACAGATTCAATATTATAAGTTTTAACTTATTATTATAACCATCATTAACCACAAACAAAGTAATGCAAAGTTAAACTACAAACTGTTGCTAAATTTTACGGAATGGTTAAAAAATTCACTAATTTCAATGCAAAAACATTTCCAATAACCGTGAGAAAAAAAATTTTCCAATAACTGTGAAAATGTTTTTTTCCAATAACCGTCTTTTCTAAAA